GGCAGCAGGACTGGGGTGCATTTCGGGTTTTAGGGTTTAGGGTTTGCTTACAGCGGAAGACCCAAACCCGGGTTTCTCAAGGAGCTTGCCATTTTAGCACTGCAGGACTCCGATGTGGCTGGGTAGTAACGGATCCTGGGGGTTTTAGGTTTAGGATCTAGGGTTTAAGGTTTAAAGTTTAGGGTTGAGGATTTGGGGCATTTTTATCGTTTAGGGCTCAGCTTTTTATGGGCCATCGTAAGAACTCCAAAATGGGGTGGTATTTCGAATTGGGATGCTCCTCGTGAGTGTAATGTTTTCAATCTTATAAGACGCATAACCTTCCTCATGCCAACGACCAAAAAGACGCAACTGACATGCACATGCGTCAAAAGAGAGGACACTCCTTGCAAATTTGAGAAACCGTCCAAATTGCAAATTTCTTCGCACTCTTCCTGCAGCCTCACTGCTTGAATTACACGTGTTTTCCGAAGATGAGGTGACCTTTGTTGGGAGCCACGATAATCAGGATTGTAGATTGCAGTCTAAACTGGGCCCCCTCATTTATGGAACCCCCTCAGCTGTTGTGTCGTCATGAATCACACGTAGTGCTACTATGGCCTCAGGCTTAGGCTATTCATCATAGTCATGTAGACAAGATGGTAGGGATTGAGGCGGAATTTGTTCCCCAGCCTGCAACCCTAAACCCTAAACCTTCTTGTTGCGGTTCAACTTGTGGTTTTGGTTCTGGGTCTTGGTGGGAACCCCACCCCCCAAAATCAGTGGAGGGTGCTTCTCCGCTTAAGCACCAGCAAGGGTTTAGGGTGTATGGTTGAAGCCTGACCCCAAACTCCAAACTTCCTACACCCGAAACCATGTGGTTCATGGCCAAGTCCTGCATGACCCAAGTGTTGAATATGGCCATCTTTGCAAGGGTCTGAGCATATGGGGTCATGTCGAATTTCGTCAGGAAACCTACGCCGCCTAGGTTCGAAGCCCTCAAGCCCGAAATCCAAAACCCTAAACCTGGCAATGTAAAACCTGGAACCGCGCACTCTCAGCTCTCAACCCTGAGCCCTAAAGCCTAAACCCTGAACCCTAAACCCTATACCATTATCCCAATATACCCTATACCCTATAGAACCCATTATGGTAGCTTCCATTTTCTTTTCCATTATCCCTATATCACCCCAGTAATGTACTTACCTACCAACCTCCAGACCATAAAAGCCCAAATCCCTACATGCAGGAGAGCCTGCAGTGGCTACCCCTATGAGGGCAGCTTTCCAAAACATGCAGTCATTTTTTTTGGGTTTTAGGGTTTAGGGTTTAGGGTTTAGGGAGGCTGAGGTTCAGGGGTTCAAGGGTTTGGGGTTTAGGGGTTGAAGGGTTTAGGGTTTAGGGTTTAGGGCTTTCAGGGATGCTTGTCGAAGAGCAAGATTCATTATTTGCCGTTGTTATGATTCAATGATGGTAGATAGCACCCAAAAGATTGTTCTATATACATCATTGTTCAGGCTGTCAGGGTAATGCAGCGGTAGGCCTAAACCCTAGGCCTTAAAACTCCAGTGAAGGAGATCAAATTGGCCAATGGCTTTGAGACCTTATCCCTTGAACCAACATGGAACTTGAACCCTGTAGGAAGAACGGCAGCTTTGGCATTTTTCGGGCTACATTGTTGGAGTCTCGAGGTTTCCGTAAGTCATACGGGTTTGCGTAGCTGTCAGGTGTCCAGCATTGTGGGAACAGCAGTATAGGCAAACTCCCGACTTTGTTCGGAACAGAAATTTTGCTTCTCCTAAAACCTGGCAGCAGGTGGTTTTGGACAACGTTTATTCGGTTTTTAGATGTGTCATAGGGCTCTGCCCGGATATAGGTTTTGGGGCGTAGTGGGTTGACTGCCTGGATTTAGAGGAGCCTTGCACAGCTCTTATTCATACTCTTTATCGCCTCCCTAAACGCCTACTCAGCACTTCATGCTGATGCCCTCGCGAGAATGTAGATTTCTATTCTCATATTTCAGAATTACACAACCTGGAGCGGAAGCAGCAAGACCACAAACCCCAAAGCCTGAAATTCCGTACCTAGAAGCCCGAGTAGTTTAGAACTTTACCCCCTTGATACCTTTGGTACAGGTTTCATAGTATCCAGTTGTCCAAAGCCCTAGTCAAAGCTGTTAGCTCCAGATCTTACCCGATGTCTGCAGGCCTTGGGGATTGGTCCAGAATTTCCTAGCGTGCCTCTTCAGGGCCCACCGCTGTTCACACAGGCCGCCATGAAAACCAGGGCATCATAAACCTAAACCCCCAACCCAAACTAGGACTTCATAATTATCATAATATGATGGTGCAAGGATGCTTATTACAGGTGTTGGGGGCTACCGAATTCCCTTTTTTTATTGTTTGCGAGGTTTGGGGCTCTCGGCTGACTGAGGCTGTAAAGTGCGGAGTTTGGGGCTTAGAACTGGCAGAGAGTTTGGGAGATGGGGTTTTGGCTTTTGGGATTGAGGTGTCTCCTGTAGCAACATCACGGCCATCCTTTGTGCGGCTTTGAGGCACAGCATTGTACTTAGTTCCTTCCCTCTGACACTACACCCCGAACATCTTAGCCGGCTTTAAGCAGACAATCATTCCATATGGCCGACTTCAACAATACATTCATTTAATCTGGCAACTGCCAAGACATCTCTAGAACATGCATCCGAGTCACAGGACCCCAAGTCTACCTCCCGGCATCCTTGCTCTAAACTCTAGTCCCTAGCCTGGGCACCCTCAATCTTAATCCCTAGACCGCAAGCCCTCACCCCAAGGCCCCTAGCCCTACACCCCCAACCGTCTGGACCCTGGAACCCACCAGCTGATTTTGGGTAATTTTGAGCGCAACAAGAACTTACACAGTGAACATAACTTCCAATGACTACCCCAGAAGCCTGACCTTCGGGGGGGGGGGACCCGCATTTTTAGCAACCTTCCTCAAAGGGACCCCCTCCTATGTTGGAACTCCACATAGAAACCCTGCTTCCTCACAATAAACCTCCCCCACCCCCTAGTGAGACATGTTCTCAGTACAGCACTTTATGCATAGGGCGAGGTCATGACAGGGGAGGCGGCTCATGACAGGGAAGTGGATTTTGAGTAGAAGGGGACCCCAAACCGTGAATTCTAAGCTGTAAACTCTGCTTCAAAGTTCAAGGTCTGCAATTACAATGTACTTGAAGTTGTAATTATCTATAACCCAATTCTAAGCCGCCTACTGAAGCCTTAAACCCTAAACTCTAAGTTCTAAACTCTTACTTGTAGTAGTTTCCACGTTCTTTTTCAATGCTTTGCTTGCCAGGCACCAGAGCTGGAACCGGCTGCCGAGTCGCCAGCAAATGCTTCGGCGCCGGTGCAGGGCATTGTGTTGAAGGCTGGGGTTTAGGGTTTAGGGCGGGACCTGGGGGGCTGTCTGCAGGATTTAGGATTCAGGTTGAAAGCTTTGGGATTAAGAGTCTAGGCGTTTAGGGTTAAGGGGGAGGGTTTAGGGTTTAGGTGTTCACGGATTTAGACTCCACGGTTTAGGGGATCGGAGTTTAGGGGCTGGCGGTTCAGGCGGTTAGGGTCCGGTTTAGGCTTCAAGTACCCATATAGCAAATATTTAGGCCCCACAACAGAATTGGAACTGTTTGGGCCCACAGTATGTCCTAATCGGTACCTTGACCCTCTGAGCTAAGCATTAAAAACCCTAAACCCTAAACCCTACTCCCCCCTAAA